ATCAAAAGAAGATGGAAGGAATACTCAGAGTCACTGTACCAAAAAGAACTGGTCAATATTCTTCCATTTCAGGAGATGGCATATGATCAATAACCAATGGTGTTGAAGGAAGAAGTCAAAGCTGCACTGAAGGAACTGGCAAAGAGCAAGGCTTCAGGAATTGACCTAATACCCACTGAGGTGGTTCAACAAATGATGCCGTGCTGGAGGCACTCACTCAATTATGCCAAGAGATTTAAAAGATAGCTACTTGGCCAACCGACTGGAAGAGATCCATATTTGTACCCATTCCAAAGAAAGGTGATCCCATAGAATGTGGAAATTATTGAACAATGTAATTAATATCACATTTACTAGCACATTAATGCAAGTAAAATCTTACTGAAGATAACTCAAAAATGGTTGCAGGAGTATATTAATAGAGAGCTTCCAGAAATGCAAGCTGGATTGAGAAGAGGTCATGGAGCGAGTGATATCATCATTGATGTCAGATGGATCTTAGCTGAAAAGAAAGAATACCAGAAAGATGTTTACTTATGCTTTATTGACTATGCAAATGCATTCAATTGAGTGGATCATAACAAATTGGGGAAAACTTTAAAAAGAATGAGAATTCCAGAACACTTAATTGTACTCATGAGGAACCTGTACATAGATCTGTACAATTTAACCTGTAAAATTTAACATATGTTAAACAGTCTTGGTTTCTCAATCGACAATGGAAACCTAATGAGAGTCAGAATTAGCGTGACTACAAGTAACAACAACATGGGAAGGAAAAGGTGAAGCGAGGATTAAAATTAAAATAACTCAAATGTAATAGTAACAGATTAACTTCCCTGAAGTTCAAATATAATACAAAATAGCCATGGATAGAATTTTAGCTATGAAAGGAACAAGAATGTATTCAGTCCATCTTTCTGACAGTTTGAATCTGTCATTCAAACAGAACAAGGGGATAATACATGGTTCAAAATCAAGAAGGGAGTGTGTCAAGGTTGTATCCTTTCACCATACTTATTCAACTTGTACGCTGAGCAAATAATCTGAGAAGCTGCATTATAACAACAATGGTCTCAGATAGAATGTTCTCAGAGGCAAGTTTTTATTATCTATAATAGACATAAATTGGACAAGATAGACTTCGCAGTTTTTAGCTACTATGAATAATGCTTTGAAATTCATGTATAGATCTCAATATAGAAGTATGGTTTCTTTTATCTTGAGTAAAAAAAAGAAAAGGAGTGGAATTTCTGGGTTATTAGGTAGGTAAGTATATGTTAACCTTATTAAAAAACTGTTTTCCAAGTTGGATTATATGAAGAAGAATGTGGCATCAGGATTGGAGGAAGACTCATTAACAACTTGTAATAGGCAGATGACACAACTTTGCTTGCTGAAAGTGAGGATGACTTGAAGCACTTACTGATGAATATTAAAGACTCCAGTATGCAGTATGGATTATGCCTCAATATAAAGAAAACAAAAAAGTCCTCACAACTGGTCCAATAAACAGTGTCATGATAAAATGAGAAAAGATTAAAGTTGTCAAGTATTTCATATTCCTTGGCTTTACAAGCAACACGAATGGAAGCATCAGTCAGGACATCAGATGAAGTATTGCATTGGTCAAATTAGCTGCAAAAGGCTTCTTTCAAGTGCTGAAGAGCAAAGATGTCTACTTGAAGACTAAGGTGCACCTAACCCAAGCTATGGTATTTTCTATCGCCTCTTATGCATGTGAGAGCTGGACAACAAATAAGGAAGACCAAAGAAGAGCTGATGCTTTTGAGTTGTGGTGTTGATGAAGAATACTGAAAGTACCAAGGACTGCCTGAAGAACTAACAAATCTCTCCTAGATGAAGTGCAGCTGGAATGATCCTTTGAAGCGAAATGGCCAGACGTCATCTCACCTACTTTGGTCGTGTTGTCAGAAGGAACCATTCCCTGGGGAAGGATATTATGCTTGATAAAGTGGAGGGTCAATAAAGAAGGGGAAGGCCCTGAATGAGATGGATAGACACAGTGGCTGCAACGATGGGCTCAAGTATAGCAAGGAACGTGAGGCTAGCGCAGGACTGGGCAGTGTTTCGTTCTGCTGTGCATAGGGTCACCATGAGATGGAGACAACTCGACAGCATCTAACAACAACAACAACATCAACAACATATGATCAAAGACTGATCAATCTACTGAGTCAATCCTCTTCCATAAAGATTTACCGCCTCAGAAACCCAAAGTGGTTACTGTGAGTCAGAATCGACTAAGTGGTAGTGAGTTAGGTTTAGTTTTTTGGTTTTCTTTGTAAAATTGATTATTCTCTTATGCATATAATATATGAGTGTTTGTACCCAATTTAACATACGTTAAACAGTCTTGGTTTCTACAATGGACAATGGAAACCTAATGAGAGTCAGAATTAGCTTGACTACAAGTAACAACAACATGGGAAGGAAAAGCTGAAGAGAGGATTAAAATTAAAATAACTGAAATGTAATAGTAACAGATTAACTTCCCTGAAGTTCAAATATAATACAAAATAGCCATGGATAGAATTTTAGCTCTGAAAGGAACGAGAATGTATTCAGTCCTTCTTTTTCATTTTCCTCTATGGGGAAACAAGGATAGAGTGAAGATAAGTGCATTAAAGTCAGGAGTTTACTACCCAATATAAGTTCCATAGTTGAATGTAATTTGATATGCAATTTACACATATTATTACTACTTATTACTAATAATTCAACACATTGTTTCACTCTTTAGTCTTCACTTGTTTTGAAACTAGTAACAAATATGATATCATGAACAAGCACCAAGAGAGAATCTATTTTGCAGAAGAGAAAAGCAATTGTTTCTTCAGACACGTTTGTGGATATTTGAGGCCTTTTACCATAACAATTTATGATAATGTAGGCCGAGATGTAATTATTCTGCATAGATCTCTAAGATGTTGCTGCTGCCAAAAGGTCAGTAAATATCTTATACACTACTTGACTGAAAATATATTTGAATTTCTTCAAAAAGTTCAATACTAGTCAGCATGTTAACGCTTACTTAAACATTGAGTTTGCCTACAAAAAACTGTCTGGAATGAAACATGTTAGAGAGAATTCAATTTTGATACCACATAGCTTCAGAGTAAGAATTGTGCAGAACATTATTTTTTTTCAAACAACAGTGGTCTCAAATAGCCTGTTATCAGAGGCAAGTTTTTATTGTCTATAATAGACATAAACTGAACAAGATAGACTTCTCAGTTTTTTGCTACTATGAATAATGTTATGAAATTCATGTATAGATCTCAATATAGAAGTATGTTTGCTTTTATCTTGAGTAAAAAAAAAAAATGGAGTGGCATTTCTGGGTTATTAGTTAGGTAAGTATATGTTAACCTTATTAAAAAACTGTTTTCCAAAGTATATCTATTTATATTCCCACCAGAAATGTATGAGTTCCATTAACTCTGTATCCTTACCCACATTTGGTACTATCATTTATTTTTTTTTTAAATTTAGCCATTCAATGGGGATACATACTGGCATCTTATTGTGGTTTTTATTTGCATTTCTCTTCATGTGTTTATCAGCTACTTGAATATCTTTTTAATATAAAATATTCACATCTTTTGCCCATTATAAAATCAGTCTTGTATTGGTTGTCTAGTGCTGCTATGACAGATGTACCACAAATGTATATCTTTAACAAACAGGGGTTTGTTCTCTTACAGTTTAGGAGGCTAGAAGTCTGGGTTCAAAGTGCCAGCTCTAGGGGCTGGGTGAAGGCCCCTTGACTTTGGGCTTCAGCTCTGCCTTTTGTTCCTGGCCCACTGAAGCTGGAGGCTTCTCTTAACTCACACAGCTGCTGGCTCCTGACACTGACAAACTCAAAGTCTACAAGTAAAATAGCACAGTCCAAAGATTATCAAGCAACACAGCAGGCCACGAGTTTAAGTTGAGACACATTCCCAAGACTGGCAGACACAATGGTAGGCCACTCACCAATGACTAGGCCAAATGCAGGATCCAAATGTGCCAAGAAGCTCAAGAACTTTCACAGAGTATCTTCTTATATACTGGAAGCAGACCACAGCTCTAAGGCAGCTACTCAGCTGCTCTAGTTGATTCCACCATGGAGCTGATTACCAGTCTCATCATTGGAATAACTACATCCAGCTGCCCAGCCACTCAACCAGGCCCAGCCAAATTGACACATAACCTTACCTACCATAAGAGTGTCTTATTATTGTTAGTTATAAGAATTAATCATATACACTGAGTGTAAGTCCCTTGTCAGAGACATGCATTATAAATATTGCCCCCAGGTATACGTCTTGCATTTTCTTTATAGTGTTCTTGCATAAGCAGAAGCTTTCCATTTTGATGGAAATCTAATTTATCATATATTTTCTTTTATGGTTTATCCTTTTTTCTTTTTTTGTTTTGGTGGTGTAAGGAATCTACTTCCGTAAGTGATACCACCTCAGAAACCCAAGGAGGGGTTGCTATGAGTTAGATCCAACTCAACGGCCATGGGTTTGGTTCTGGTTTGGAAGGAATTCTTGGCAACTACAATGAAGCAAAGAATCTCTCTTACAATTATTTTCTCTGGAAGTTCTCTATTTATGTCTATGATCCATGTTGAGTTAATTTTTCTTTCCTATAAGTGAATAAAGCTTTGGAGTTATTTATTTTCCAATTTGATATTCAATTGTTCAAGCTGTGTATTTTGGAAAAGAGTATCCTTTGTGTATTGAATTATCTTGGTTTATTTTTGGAAACTAATTGCCAATTAATTTATGGGTCCTTTTCTGGGCTCTATACTCTTTTATTATTCTATTGATCTGTGTATCAATCCTTAGCCAATACTACAACACTACTCTAGCTTTAGAATAAGTCTTACTATCAGGCAGTTTGACTTCTTGTGTTTCTTTTTAAAAATTGGTTGGTTTTTCTAAGTCATTTTCATCTTAATATAAATTTTAGAAAAAAAATATTTTGTATCAAATTTTGTTCAGATATTAATTGAAATGGCATTTAATCTATTGATTAATTTGGGAAACATTAGGATCTTACTATATTAAATTTTCTTTTCAATGTTCATAGTGTAACTCTCCTGTTACTTAGATCTTCTTTAATAGCTCCCAGTAATAGTTATTTTAGTCTTATACACATTCTAGTAGGGATACTTTTGGTATTTCTTGTTTTAAGATATAATTACAAATCATATTTTCAATTTAATTTTCTCATTTTTGTTGCTAGTGTATAGAAAAAGAATTGATCTCTGTATATTGACTTTTTATCCATTGACTTTACCACAATCATGTAGGAATTCTAGTAGCTTAGGAGGTCTGGTAGCATAGTGCCTAAGGCACTTGCCTGCTAACCAGAAGGCTGGCAGTTCAAACCCACCAGCCACTCCTTGGAAGGAAGGTTGGGTGATCTACTTCTGTAGTGACACTGCCTCGGCAACCCAAGGAGGGGTCGCTATGAGTCAGAGCCAACTTGACAGCACATAACAACAACAGTTTGTACATTAATTAAGTTTTACTATAGATTGGGCAAGCTACTTCTGTAGTGATACCACCTTGGAAACCAAGTAGAGTTGGCTATGAGTTGGATCTGACTCCACAGCAGTGCATTGCATGAAGTTTTCATTACAATTAAGTATTATGTAAATAAAGAGAATTTTACTTCTTCATTTGTCATCTATATGCTATTTATTTGTATATGTGTGCATATATGTATTACCTTTTTGGGTGATGGTTGTTGTTAGATGCCATGTAGATTTCTCTGACTCCTGAACTTACAGATAACAGAACTAAACTCTGTGCAGTCTGTGTTATCTTCATGATCTTTGGCATGTTTGAGTCCATTGTTGCAACTATTACATCAATCCATCTCATTGAGGGGCCCTCTAATTTACTAAATATGTCCTTTTCTAGTAATTGGTCTTTCCTGATGCTATGTCAAAAGTAAGCTGTAATATAACATTGAAGAGAATTGGGAGAAAATATAGCTTTACCTTTTTCCCCTGGTTTTGGGGAAAAGGATTAAATCTTTATCAGTAAGTACAATATTATCTATAGGTTTATTATAGATCTCTTTCATCAGGTCAAGAAAGATCTCATTTATTCTTAAGTTTCTGAGTTTTTATTGTAAAATTTTTATATATTTTTAAATCTTTTTTCCATATCTATTGAGTGAACTATGTCATTTTCTTTTCCTGAAAATATGGTAATTATAACAATTGATTTTTTTTTAAATATTGCTTTCCTGGGATAATTCTCATGTGCACATGGTCATTATTCTTATTACATATTGCTAGATTTATTTTGCTATGTTTCTGTATCAATATTTACAATATGTAAGTTTGTAGTTTTCTTTTTCTTAAGTCTTTGACTTTAGTATTAGGATAATTCTGGTCTTATCAAAAGAGTTAGGAAGTATTCTGTATTACTTTTTTTTTCCTTAAAGAGTATGTGCAGGATTGGTAATATGTCTTCCCTAAACGTTTTATTGTATACATCAGTGAAATCATCTCAGCCTGGAATTATGTGTGTGTAAGTTTTTAATTTTAAATTTAAAAATTCTTTAATTGATACTGACATTTTCAGGTTTTCTATTTCTTCTTGAGTCATTTTTTTTTTTTATAATTTCTGTCTTTCAAAGTATTTGCCTATTTTCTTTGTTGTTTAATTTGTTTGCATAAAGTTGTTCATATTTTCCCTTATTATCCTTTCACATTTGTATGTTATGTAAGTGATGGCCCCTATTTCATTTCTAAGATTATTGATTTGAATTTTTCTTCTTTGTCATGCTTACATTAATGAATTTTATTGGTCTTTCCAAAGAATCAGATTTTGGATTCATTTATTTTCTCTAATATTTATCCATTTCTTGTTTCATTGATATTTTCCCCTCTAGTCTTTATTATCTTTTCTACTACTTTTTGTAGCTTCTCAAAACAGAAATTTGATCATTGGTTTTATATATATATATATTATATCTATCTATCTCTCTATGATCTCCCCTGCCATCAAATCAATTCTGACTCATAGCAACCCCCGTTGGGTTTCCAAGGCTGTAAATCTTTATGGAAGTAGATTGATTAATCTTCCTCCTGCTGAGCAGCTGGTGGGTTTGAATTCCTGAACTTCTGGTTAGCAGCTAAATGCCTTAGCTACCACAGTATTAGAGCTCCATATACATATGTCCTGCTGCCATTGAGTTGTTCCAGACTCATAGTGACCCCCATTGGGTTTCCAAGGAAGCAAATCTTTATGGAAGTAGAATACCTCATCTTCCTTCTGTGAAGTGACCAGTGGGTTTGAACTGCCAATTTTCTGGTTATCAGTCAAATTCCTAAGATATTAATTTAAAGGTTTTTTACCTTTAAATTAAAAAGTTTCTTAATAAATTTACAGATATTCAGGCTTCCTGTTTCTGAATGTCAACTATATGTATATTCAACTATATATGTTATGTGTGTGTGTGTGTATCCTTCTGAAAGTTGCTTAACTATAAATTTGGTAAGTTCCATTTTAATTTTATTTAGTTAAAATTATTTTCTAACTTCTCTTCATTTTTTTTTAACTTTATCAGTTATTGTATCAATCTAGGTTATCAGTAAACAGAAACTTCATGGTAATCTAAAAAGAAGTTTAATATAAAGAAATAAGCTTGATAAGAAAATACAACCAAACCAAACCCACTGATGTTGAGTTGACTCCAACTCATGATGACCCCCACTGGGTTTCCATAATGGTAAACAACACTGGGCAATCTACTTCTGTTTCTGCAGTGTAGCTGGTGGGTTTGACCACCAACCTTCCAGTTACCTGTCAGATACCTTAGGCACTGTGCTACCAGAGCCCTTTTGAAAGGAGAATAACTATGAAAATATAAAGAAACCATTAAGGGATACCTCCAGGGCTAAGGGAGAGTACCCAAGAAAGCACAGGGATTAAATTTAGATCTTCTTGGAGAAGTGTGGGTGCAGCCTACTGGGCGGTAGAGAAGTTTGCAGCCTTGCCTGGATCAGAGCTAGTCCACAATGGTCAGGCAAGCAGGAAACAGACCTTCAGAGCTTGTGGGTAGATGGGCATGCAGAGGGAGTTAGTGTACCACTGTGGAGTATACAGTATTCCTGTTAGGAGTACCACAGAAAATAAAACTCTTTTTTTTTTTTATCCTCTCTCTGTCTTTCTCTGTATATGTAGTCAGTTTAAATTGTATCATACATTGTGCAGACTATGGATTTTCTCATTTTCCTTCAAAGAAATTTAGCTCTTTTGATTTCTTTCTTTAAGCAATTAACTTCTATGAACTCAAAATCAAAATTCCATCTCTCTAGCAGTAGGAGTAGCTGAAATTTCTGTTCAGAAATTTTAGCCTTCAATGGGCAACTTGGAATCTTCCCCGCAAAGGCATAAATCGAGGGTCAGCCAGAAATTTGGGCAGAATTTATACACAAAATTTTGTGCTGTCTTTGTGGCTCTCCCCTTTCTAGGATTCCCTCTTTCACTTTCCACCAGCTGTGTTGTCCTAATCCCTATCCTCTGATTTCTCAACTAATAAGACTGCAGGTTTCTATCCAAGTTTTCACTACCCTGTGCCACCCTGAATGGGATTTACTCTTATATGAGAAGCTATGAAAAAAAAAAATAAATAAACAGGGAATTCAACCAGTACCCTTACCTTTTTCCAAGTGAAGACTCACCTCCAGTTTCTGATAACAGAATTTCTAAAAAGTGGAACTTTGCCCTTTCACATTATTTTTGTAGTTACATTTTATGTATAGTGTTGGTGCATATAGTCTGCATATAAACTTCATACTATTCATCATAGTTTTTCCTATCATTTGGTCCTCCATTTTTGGATTGCTATACTCTTCCACATTTAATCATTAAATGCTATTCTTTCCATTTTTCTTTCCTCCTTTAGGGTTAGCCCAATAGGGAAATATTTTCAGTGTCAATGATCACACAATTATCTTGGTTTTCCATGCCTTTTACCTGGTTAGGTTTCCCATAAGAAATTCAAAAAAGCAATATCCCCTGTCCTTTTGCAGATTCATTGCAGTTTGGTCATGATCTGTACCTGTTAAAAGCCAGTTGAGATGATATAAATTCCTTGGATTACATTTTCTTTCCTCAAATATTTAATATTAATCCATTTCTACTAGGATAAAGTGCAGCTATTCTTGCCAAAAGGTCAATTGACAATATGATTTTCTCCTTTTAATTTGTGTAACCATATTATATATACAAAATTGTTTGGGATAATCCTAGCTTAAGTGTATTGTCAAAATGTGTTAACAACATCCTCTTTCTCTTTCTTTACTGCCCCAGATTTGAAGTAGATTACATGCCAACTCTTCTTACAAATGGCTTGGACATCTTTACTAAATTCCTCCATTTTTTTTTGCCTTTAAATTACAATATTATCTGGAATAATATTCTGGAATTACAATACTTTCTTGATAATATTAGGTTGATTTTCTTCAGGCTTTTTCTTTCCAACGTATAAAATCACATTTTTCTTCTATCTAAAGGAGTTTTATTGAGTTTTAACATTTAGTATTTGTTACATTTCATAATTTTGTTTTACCTCTTTGGGCACTGTTATTAGACATATATTAGCCCTTCTTTTACTGCATTCTATTCTATTATGATCACTTCTATGGCATTTCATTTTATATTCCTTCTAGTACAAATTTAATTCCTGAACTTATCTTTCTTTTCTTCTAATTCTTTCTTGCAGTTTGCCATTTCTGTTTTCATTTCCTGTTTTTGTCTAGGCACTTATTTTCTGAGTTTTTCTAATTCTGCTTTATATTGTTTATTCATAGCTTTTAAGGTTAAAATATATTCTTGATATTAACAGTTTCCTTTATGGGAAGGTTCTGGTAACTTCATTGTTTATAGAAACATTATTTGGACATTATTTTCTTTTTATTATATCACTGCAAGATATTCAACATCAATTCTTTTGTATTGCTCATATTGGCTTGCCTTAGGTTTTGTCTTTTGGGGAGATTCTTACAAGAATGTGTAGTTCTAGGCATCTTTCTTCTGTTTTATTATGAAAGGTTAGGAATACAGCCTTAGTTCATGTTTGAGATCTACTTTCTCTGTTCACCACCTCTACCTTTATCTGAACTTCTTATTCTTTCACCTCAGGACAAGTCTTCCTATCTTGCTCAGTTTGTTGCAGTTTGCACAGTTTCTTGTCAGTACGTGGCGTTGCCCAGAAAGGGAGTTTTGCATGGGTAATTTCAAGAGTTTAAGCTTAGGCAGCTTCAGCACTATTTAAATTTCTCACAGTCCTCTTACATTGTCAGCAGATTATAGGCTGTGAAGTTCCACTCATTTTCACCTATCAAAGAGACTGGTTCTCTTCTATTCTAAATGTAATCCCTTTCTTATTTGGGCTGAATATTAGTTAGAAATCTCAGGGTTCTTTGGAAATTAGAATTATCTTGTCACTTGTTTTTATATTGCTTCTATTTTAGACTTTTTGTTGTATTTTTAAAATCAAATTCTGATAAAGAATTTGATACTGGTTTGGTTTGTTTTTTACTATCATACTTGCTCTACATTGTTTTTTGGGGGAGGGCAGTTTGCAGGAGAATCACATATTATATCACTACTACCAACATCTTGATCCAGCAGTCTTCATTTATTTTTTGAATGGATAATACTTATGTACCGAAAAGCATTTGCCAGACCTCCTATATCTTTCTTCAAATACAACAATTACTGCATTTCTATTCTTCCACAGTTATTGTACCAATATGTGTATGATATGCCTATATATGTAATGTGTGTGTGTGTGTGTTTAGCACAGTTGGCAGCATACCCTTCTACTCTTTTAGCACACAAAAAATGAAGATTATTTATATCAGTATGCATAGAGCATCTTCATTATTTTAAATGGCTGCCTAATAACCATTATATGTATGTGCATTGATTTAGTCAACCAGACTCTTAATTTTGCTGAACTGGGCTTTAATCAGCAATAGGGAGTGTTACAGATTGAATTGTGTTTCCCCAATCAAAAAAAAAAAAAAAAAAAGTGTGGAATTCCTGTAACCCATACTTCTGGATATGTCTTGTTTGGAAATAGAGTTTTTCTTTGGTTTTGTTAATAAGATCTTACCAGGATTGGATAGATCTTAAACCTAATCACTTCTGAGCTATGAAAAGACCAGAATAGATACAGTGAAATACAGATAAAGCAAAGCTGATGCCATGTGAGTATCATCTGCATGCAAAAACATTAAGAAACCAGGCCTACCAAGGAAGGAATTGACGTGGTCAAGATACTGATTTGGACTTTTAGCTTCCAGACTTTGAAAAAATAAATTTCTTTTCTTGAAAACCACCACTTGTGACATTTATGTTATGGCAGCACTAAGAAACTAAAACAGGGAGGTAAAAATTTTTAGAGAATTCCTATTTGCTTTGGCATAGAGGCATGAAAATACTTGTCATGTTGGGTAATAAGCAATTTTTGGTATGACTGGACTTTAAGGCATATCTCATGGGAATGGCAATTTACAAAGTAATCCCCGTGATGGCCTAAAGAAGGAGATTACGGTTCAAACCCACCAGCCACTCTGTCAAAGAAGATGGGGCAATCTACTTCTGCAAAGATTGTAGCCTCAGAAACCCAATAGGGGTTCTTATGAGTTAGAAATGACTTACTTGATGGTAGTGAGTTTGGTTTGATTTGAATGTGAATTTTGAGAGTGAAGTTCAGAGTTAATTGTCACATTCTATGTAATCAGTAGACAACAGATTCAGGTCCACTCAGAGTTTTGATACTTAAATCCTGGATCTTTTCATTTACATCTTCATTTTCAAATTTAAGGCATGCCTCAAACTCAGAACGTTCTGTTCAAATATCCAAAGTGCTAAGCTAAATGTAGCATGTAACTAAACATAATGTTACTTTCAAATCTAACATATTTCATTTAATCAATATTATACTTTTCAACCTTTTGTAGGTTACAGTTGAGGCTCCACCTGGTAACACAATTGGATATATTTATCAATCCTGTCACCCATTTTTGCCAAAGTTTAAAATAAAAAATGAGGATAAAGAGGATGTAATGAAAATCAGAGGGCCATGCATGCTCTGCAAATGTTTCAAGAATGTAAATTTTAATGTGAGTATTTGGAAATTTTTTAAATTAGTATGCTCTGATTAATTGACTTTATGACATCAAGAACATCATTAAACTTTACAAAGTTCATGCAGCTTATAAGGGATCTTTTAAATTACCTTTTAAGTTTGGTATATAACATTTCAAAGAATATTGAAAGGAAAAATGAAATTTTATTGCACAGTAATGAAATAATCTGAGATTAATTATACATAATATGTTAATATGTTAATGCTAATTAATATACCTTTAACAAGTCATAAATTTATGAAACTGGAATAATACAAATTTTAAAAATGTAAGTGCTTACCAATTACTGGTCAAATCATGGGTAGTATTCATGGATAATAATTTGAGAGGCAAATTACTAAATGTTCTAAATATTGTTAATAAAACTAAACAACCAACACACTACTTTAAATCTGAAGATTCTAAAGCATTAGAGAATATCTTGTCAGTTTGATTAGAGATTATATATGAAGAAAGCAGTTCTTTCCAACCTTTCATCAAGGACGCTTTTTTTTTCTTTAATATTTGAAATACATAAGCAGAAATTAGGCTACAGTCTAATTAAAGTGTTACATGATTTTTCTCCTTCTTTAGAATTATGTCTATTCAGTTGTGGTAGTCTGGTTTGTGTGTCAACTTGGCTGGACCTGGTTGAGTGGCTGGGCAGTTGGTGATAGTTAATCCCGATTAGGAGACTGGCAATCAACTCCATGGTGGGATCTACCACAAGCAGCTGAGTAGCTGCCTTTGGGATGTGGCCTGCTTCCTGTATTTAAGGAGAAGCTTTGAGAATGGTCTCTAGCCTATGGCATGCTTGGACCCTGCATGTAGCCATGTTGTTGCTCAGCAGCCTGCAATGCTCTGCCAACCTTGGGACTTATAATGGACTTAAGTTAATGGCCTGCCATGTGGTTTGATAATATCAGGACTGTGACTTTTTCCTTTTCAACCTTGGCGCTTCTCAGCCTCAGCAGCCAGCAGCTGTCTGAATGAAGAAATGCCTCTAGCTCCAGTGGGCTGGGAGCAGAAGACAGAGCTGGACCCCAAGGTTGAGGGGCTTTCACCCAGCGTCTAGAGCCTGGCACTTTGAACTTGGACTTAAAGCCTCCAAATTGTGAGAATAAACAACTGTTTGTTAAGGCCATCCCATCTATGGTATATTTCTCGTCAGAGCGGCACTAGGTAACCAAAATATCAGTTTAGTGACACTTATTATGATTAGCAGATGCTGAATATCTTCAGCCAAAACAAAGCCAGGAGCTGACTGTAGAACAGACCATCAACTGCTCATATGCAAGTTCAAATTGAAGCTGAAGACAACTAAAACAAGTTCACAAAAGCTAAAATACAACTTTGATTATATCCCTCCTGAATTTAGAGACCATCTAAAGAACAGATTTGATGCATTGAACACCAGTGACTGAAAACCAGATGAATTGTGGGATGACATCAAGAACATCATCCATGAAGAAAGCAAAAGGTCACTAAAAAGATAAGAAAGAAGAAAAGACCACAATGGTTGTCAGAAGAGACTCTGAAACTTGCCCTGGAGCAGAGAGTAGCTAAAGCAAACAGAAGAATTGACAAGAATAAAGAGCCTACCAGAAGATTTCAAAGAGCAGCTCAAGAAGACAAAGTTAATTATTATAATGAAATGTGCAAAGAGTTGGGGTTAGAAAACCTAAAAGAAAGAATACCCTTGGCATTTCTCAAGCTGAAAGAGCTAAAGGAAAAATTCAAGCCTCAAGTTGCAATATTGAAAGATTCTAAGGGCAAAATACTGAATGATGAAGGAAACATCAAAAGAAGATGGAAGGAATACACACAGTCACTGTACCAAAAAGAACCAATTGATGTTCATCTATCTCAGGAGGTGGTATGTGATAAAGAGGCAATGGTATTGAAGAAAGAAGTCAAAACTGCACTGAAGAAATTGGAGAAAAACAAGGCTTCAGGAGTTGACGGAATCCCTTTTGAGGTGTTTCAACAAATGAATGCCCTACTGGAGGCACTTACTCATCTATGACATGAAATTTGGAAGACATCTACCTGCCCAACTGACTTGAAAAGATCCATATTTGTACCCGTTCCAAAGAAAGGTAATCCAACCAAATGTGGAAATTATTGACCAATATAATTGATATCACACCCAAGTAAAATCTTGCTGAAGATAATTCAAAAATGTTTGCAACAATATATTGACAGAGAGCTTCCAGAAATGCAAGCTGAATTCAGAAGAGGATGTGGAATGAGGGATATCATTGCTGATGTCAGATGGATCTTGGCTGAAAGCAAAGAATACCAGAAAGATATTTACTTGTGTTTTATTGACTATGCAAAAGCATTCAATTATGTGGAACATACAAATTGTGGATAACATTGAGAAGAACAGGAATTCCAGAATATTTAATTGTGCTCATGAGGAACCTGTACATAAACCAGGAGGTGTCACTGGAACAAAGTAGGGCATACTGAATGGTTTAAAATCAGTAAGGGAGTGTGTCAGGATTGTATCCTTTCACCATACTTATTCAATCTGTAGGCTGAGCAAATAATTCTAGAAGCTGGACTATATGAAGAAGAATGGGATATCAGGATTGGAGGAAGACTCATCAACAACTTGCAATATGAAGACAACACAACTTTGCTTGCCAAAAGTGAGGATGACAAAACACTGATAAAGATTAAACACTACAGTCTGCAATATGGATTACATCTCAACATAAAGAAAATTAAGATCCTCAAAACTGGACCAATAAGCAGCATCATAATAAATGGAGAAAAGATTGATGTTGTCAAAGATTTCATATTACTTATTTCCATGATCAACACCAATGGAAGCAACAGTCAAGACATCAGACAACATATTGCACTGGGTAAATCTGCTGCAGAAGACCTTTTTAAAATGTTGAGGAACAAAGATATCTCTTTGAAGAGTAAGGTGTGCCTAACCCAAGCCATGGTATTTTCAGCCATCTCGTATGCATGTGAGAGCTGGACAATAAATAAGGAAGACCAAAAAATAGTTGATCCTTTTGAGTTGTAGTGTTAGCAAAGAATGCCGAAAGTACCATGGACTGTCAGGAAAACTAACAAATCGGACCTGAAAGACGCATAGCCAGAATGCTCCTTGGAAGCAAGAACGGCCAGACTTCCTCTGACCTACTTTGGTCATGTTGTGAGAAGGGACCATTCCCTGGAGAAGGAGATCATGCTTGGTAAAGTGGAAGGTGAATGAAAAAGAGGAGGTTCCTCAATAAGATGGATTGACACAGTGGCTGCAATGATGGGCACATGTGTAGAAATGATTGTGAGACTGGCATAGTGTTTCGTTCTATTGTATACAAGGTCATTATCTGTCGGAGATGACTCAATGACACCTAACAACAACAATCACATATATAATTTGTACAATAATAAAATAAGCTCACAAAACTCTACTGTTCTTTATACTAATTTGAAACCAATGGAACAGTGTGGTCTTTGCATATAACTCTGGAGGCCAGTACAACCTTGGCTCATTTTTGATATCAAAATATTCAAATACTTTTGTGTATTGTTTTGTATTTCACAGTATGATATAATGAATCCTACTTTAGAGTCTTCAAAACTTTCTCTAAGTTGTATAAACACTTCCTATTTCTTCTAAATCTGAAGCAAAAACATTTTAAAACTTAAAATCTTGGGTAAGCTCCAAGAGTAAGGAATAAGAAGAGAAGGTCACAGGTTTGTAAGAGTTATCTTGTCCATGAATAAGGGCAATCTTTTAATATACTTTTCTCTACAAAGGAGAGGAGAGACGTAAAATAGTAGCTAGATACAGGACTAGGTCTACCAAACCAAACAAACCCACTGCTGTCAAGTTAGTTCCGACTCATAGTGACCCCTCCTTGGGTTTCTGAAGCAGTATCTCTACGGAAGTAGATTGCCCAGTCTTTCTTCTTAGGAGTGGCTGGTGAGTTTGAACAGCCAGTCTGGTTAGCACGCAAATGCCTTAGGCATTACACCACCAGATTATCCTGTTGTTGTTGTTGTTGTTTGCCGTCGAGTTGGCCCGGACTCATAGCGACCCCTCCTTGGGTTTCCGAGGCAGTGTCACTACGGAAGTAGGATTGCCCAACCTTCCTTCCGAAGCAAATGCAGAACTAGCTCCAGGTGTAAAATTTAAGGGAACACCAAAAATTTCAGTATTTAAGATAAATGATATTTCAATATAATTTTAATTAATAAAAAATAATGCCAAAAAAATAAAAATAAAAATAAAAACAGGATCTGGCCTTGCACTTTCAAGACTTGCCTCATTGACTTACAATAGTCTTATTCCTGGCTGGCTCGAGGCACACAAAAAAATAGGAAGTATTTTTACCAAAAGTGTGACTTTAGCATGTTAACTTTCAAAGGAAAGGTATCAAATGAGTGGGAAAGTGTGGACACACAGTAGAGGTTGAATACTCAACAAACCCATTCTCTTGATTAGTATAGGAACTAAGGCCCATGTAGGAAATTAGTCTCAAAGAGGCATGTTGTTGTTATTGTTATGTGCCCTCGAGTCGGACCCGACTAACAGCGACCCCTCCTTGGGTTGCCAAGGCAGTATCACTACGGAAGTAGATTGCCCCATCTTCCTTCTGAGGAGTTGCTGGTGGGTTTGAACAAAGAGGCATAGAGGTGACTTATTTGTTAAAACAGGAAGGAGGAAGTGTTAGTGTAGCTGCAGTAAATTTATAGGTTTTGTGCCTGGGAGTTTAATAATTCCCTAACTAGTGGCTTCTGTCTTCTCTGCTATCTAAGAAATAATGTGATGTGCTGAGAATGAGGAATATCTTAGGCTGGGTTCTCTAGAGAAGAGAAATCAATGATGTTTATATCTATATATATCAATATCTATCTACCTATGTATATAGAGAAATTTATCTCTGGGAAATCGTTCGTGGTTCAGGCTGGCAAGTCACGAGACTGTGGGTCAGACATTAAGCTGGAAGCATCCTCTGACA